TGTCCTGATACTCTGTAATGTTAAAAAAAAAAAAAAAAGAACGATGGGGAGTTTTGAAATCATTTCACATTGTAATATAATATTGGTAGCTTAGTATTTTGGAAAATATGTGTGTGTATATATATTAAAATAGAGGTGTTTATAATCTAAAAAAATTTGTAAAGATTAGTAATTCGGATCATGAATATATCACTTTTTAATATAAGAATAACATTTTAAAATTGAGTAATTATTAAGGTTATAAATATGCTAAAGATGTTTATTTCAAGCTAATTTTGAAATATTACTTACAGCATTAAGAATAGTTATGTGGTATTTGTCAATTTTAGTTAAATTTTAGGCCCAAGCATCATATTTTATTATTTTTGTTTTTTATTAATAAAATTATATGACATTAATTTATCTAAAAATCATATAGAAGCCCAAATTTATATGTAGAGGTCTAAGCTAAGAGAGAGGCAGTTACTCTTCTCTAAGTCTTTTTGCTAAGTCTTGTTATGAAGACTTCACTCAGACTCTATATACTGTTTGTTGATTTTATTTTCTATTTTCACAGTGCAGATAATGGCAATTTATCTTTAGAATCTTAATCTTTCAACTGATTACACTGATAGTAGTAATAGTAATAGAAGCAGCAGCAGCAATAACAGTATGTTAAGTTTTTAAATAATCCTGCCTTATCAGATAGATAATTATATCTCCATTTTATAGAAGAGGAAACTGAGGTTCGCGAAGGCTAAATAAATGATGCCAATCATGTAGCTAAACATAAAACCTGTGTTTTAAAAACAGTGTTCTGTTCTACATCATTCTCCAAACTATGCTATAATTGTTAATTATTCTTAGTACTAAAACTCATTAGAAAGGCAGTTTTATATATATCTTCAAATATAATTTTTAATAATAGTGAACCATTTGCTAAGGAACATGGCATATTTTTACATCTAACTTTCTTTGAATGCCCCTTTTCCTGTTGTTTACAGAAAGTATCACCTTGGGTAGGCTTGCGCAAGATCAATATATCCTACTGGGGATGGGAAGACATGTCTCCTTTTACAAACACAACACTACAGTGGCTTCCTGGTGAACCCAATGATTCTGGGTTTTGTGCATATCTAGAAAGGGCTGCAGTGGCAGGCTTAAAAGCTAATCCTTGTACATCTATGGCAAATGGCCTTGTCTGTGAAAAACCTGTTGGTAAGTAGTCCAGTAAATTAGCATTCCTTTAAAAGTATGTTTCCATCCCATCTTCTCATTCCTTCCTTCTAGGGTGCAGTCTGATTCTCTGATATTTATGTAAATTTTATTTTTATACACATTCTTCCCCACTTACTATTAGTGATCTCAGCATTAACTTGTGAAAATAACATAATATTATTATTTTATGCAATCTCTGTTGGTTCAAATAGTGAGATTATGAATATATGGTTGTAGTTACTTACAATATAGCAATAATCTATTCTTAATTCATTAATGTCTTTCACTTATGATAGTGTTTGGGAAGATTTGTTTAATTGGGACTCCTTTTACTCTTGTAGACATATTATTTCAGTTATCAAGTGAAAAGAAACATTTTTGTTACATCTTCTGAAATGGATTTTTGTTAAGTGAGAAAGGAATATGAAATTATTTTCTTTTAAATGTTATATTTTTATCATGGTAAAATATGCTTAAAACTTACCACTTTAACCATTTTAAATGTATTTTAATGCCAATTCAATAGCATTAAGTACTTTCGCACTGTTGTACAAACATCATCACCGTTTATCTCCAGAACTTTTTACATTTTGCAAAACTAAAAATATGTACCCATTAAACAATAACTCTCTGTTTCCTCCACCCCACCCCCTACAGTCCCTAGCAACTACTATTCTACTTTCTGTCTCTATGAATTTACTACTTCAGGTACCTCATATGGTGGAATCATATAATATACGTCCTATGTGACTGGCTTATTCCCTTAGCATAATGTCTTTAGTGTTTCACCATGTTGTAGGATGTATGAGAATTTCCTTCCTTTTTAAGGTTGAGCAGTATTACATTATATGTATCTACTACATTTTGTTCATCCCTTCATCTATCAGTGGATACTTGGGTTGCTTCTACCTTTTGGCTCTTGTGAGTAATGCTGCTATGAATGTGAGTGTATGAACATCTGTTCAGCTTCTTGCTTTCACTTCTTTGGGGTATATAGCCAGAAGCAGAATTGCAAAATCATGTGGCAATTCTATGTTGAAATTTTTGAGGAATCACCATACTGTTTTTCTCAGAGGCTGTATACATTCCCACCAGCAGTGAACAAAGGTTTCAATTTCTCTGCATCCTTGCCAATATTTATTTCCTATTATTTTAAAATAATAGTCGTCCTAAAGGCTGTGATAAATATTGTATCTTGTGTAATATTTTATGATAAGCTGTATTTTTATTCTTTGTTTATATCAGAGACATGTTCACTTATGGGACATTTACTTTGTAAGATGTGGAATGTTATGGAAAACATTGTGGCTGGGAAAACATTGTGGCTGGGAAAGTAAACACTGTTAGTATACAAACTAGGTCATAGATTACATTACTACTTATAATATTTAAAATTATACAACTTTACTTTGTAAATAATTAAAAATATCACAGAAGTTGTACATTTTCAAATTTAATAAAAAATTTAAGAAGTATTGATATATCACCTTTGTTTTTATTTACCTCATCATATTATAATGCCAAAGTTGGCTTAATTGAAACATGCTCTGAACAGCAAAGCAAAGAAAACCCATACAATTGTGTTAACATGAAGTTAAAAATGAAATTATTGTATTTGTTTATTTATTCCAGTTAGTCCAAATCAAAATGCGAGGCCATGCAAAAAGCCATGCTCTCTAAGGACATCATGTTCCAACTGTACAAGCAATGGCATGGAGTGTATGTGGTGCAGCAGTACGAAACGATGTGTTGACTCTAATGCCTATATCATCTCTTTTCCCTATGGACAATGTCTAGAGTGGCAAACTGCCACCTGCTCTCGTGAGTATTTATCTAGAGTACTTTTCATTTGACAGCAACATAAATTACTATTCTATGATGTAAAGAAGAATTAAATATTTGAAGGAGTTTCAGAAAATGAGAAAAAATATTGCTACAGCTACTTTTGAAACCAACTGGTACTGTTAACCTCTGATTTTTATTATATCATCATTTTGCATTCCACTATCTTACCCTCAATATTATTAACATGTTGCCACATATGTACAGCCCCTTTTCCCTGAACCGTGTGTATGTTGCAGACAGCATAACACTTCATGAGAGTGTTCACCTCAAACATCACAGATTGCTTTGGTGAGCCTTTTTAGTGTATTTTAATCTAATACAGTTCCCATGTCCTTTCCTTACATGACTTTGATATTTTTGAATAACCTATACCAGTTGTTTTGGAGGTTTCTCAATTTGGATTGTCTAATTTTTCCCTCATGTTTAGATTCAGGAAAGCATTTTGGGGCAAGAATATCGTACCAATGTTGGTATATCTGCTACAAGTATAGAATGCACAGTCTTGACATCATATAGAGTTATGTCAGCAGTACTGGACTTGCTATGAGTTGTACTCCAGGAGACAAATCTTGCCCCTTACTGGTCTCTCATGTTTTCTAAGTACTATAGGATAAGGCTGCACCTGAATGAATATTTATTTATTTATTTTATTTATTTTCTTTTAGGTGTCTTTTTAAAATTATTATTGTACTTTAAGTTCTAGGGTACATGTGCGCAACGTGCAGGTTTGTTACATATGTATACATGTGCCATGTTGGTGTGCTGCACCCATCAACTCGTCAGCACCCATCAACTTGTCACTTACATCAGTTATAACTCCCAATGCCATCCCTTCCTCTTCTCCCCTCCCCATAATAGGCCCCGGTGTGTGATGTTCCCTTTCCCATGTCCAAGTGATCTCATTGTTCAATTCCCACCTATGAGTGAGAACATGCGGTTGTTTGGTTTTCTGTTCTTGCGAAAGTTTGCTGAGAATGATGGTTTCCAGCTGCATCCATGTCCCTACAAAGGACACAAACTCATCCTTTTTTAT